CATGGTGAAACCCCATCTCCACTGAAAATACAAAAATTAGCTTGAGGTAGAGGCTGCAGAGCCGAGATTGCACAACTGCACTCCAGCCTGAGTGACAGAGTGAGACTCCCTCTCAAAGAAAAAAAATTCATAACAGCAACAGCTGGCGTTTCCTGGGGACTCGGCCAGGTCTTCTACCTGTGCGCTCTCATTAAGTCTCATAACGCCAAGCCTAGGAAGTAGTTACTATGGTTTTCTTCATTTCACAGATGAGGAAACTGAGGCAGAGAGACAGAAAATAACTGGCGCTAGGTTCCTCAGCACAGTGGGGAGTTGGGATTCAGGCAGGCAGTGTGACCGCATCCTCGCTCCTTGCTTCTACTCAAGTGTGGGACATGCAGCGAGGTTTTCTCCTCCCCGGAAGCCCTGGGGTCTCATAGAGCTGCGTTGGGAAGCCCCTCTCACATGGCCTGAGTCCTCCTGCTCCTGCCTGCAGAGCTCTTGGTGGAGCTGAGGGATAGCTGGGTCTCCCCACCCTCGGCACATCCCTCTCCAATGTGGCGGCTCCTCCCACCCCTGCCCTGGGCCTCCCCTCCCAGCCTCCTCCTGCTCCTGTCACTGTTGTCTGGATCCTGCCTAGAGTCCAGGCTGGGAGGGAGCTGGAAAGAGATCACTCTGGGAGTCAGGAGACCTGGGTTCCAGCTGGGGCTGACCCCCTAGAGCAAACCTTGGCCCTCTTTGAGCTTCAGTGTCCCCATTTGTAAAGAAGAGTGTTGACTTCTGGGCCAAGCTCATGTGGCTTCTGGGTTTAAGCGGGTTCAAGCTCTGAGGGTGAAGGGGTGCTGCCTGGGCCCCCAGACCCTTCCTTTACTACTCAGTCAATATGTTCTTTCATATCTTCTTTTATTTTTGAGACAGAGTCTCCCTCTGTCTCCCAAGCTGGAAGGCAGTGGCATGATCTCAACTCACTGCAACCTCCACCTCCCAGGTTCAAGTGATTTTCCATCCTCAGCCTCCCAAGTAGCTGAGATTATCGGCACCTGCCACTGCATCCGGCTAATTTTTGTATTTTTAGTAGAGTCGGGGTTTTGCCATGTTGGCCAGACTGGTCTTGAACTCCTGACCTCAGGTGATTCGCCCAACTCGACTTCCCAAAGTTCTGGGATTACAGGCATGAGCCGCTGCGTTCAGCAGTGGCTCACATTTGCCCGGCTATAAGGGTCTTTAAAAGTTCCTTGCCCGGGCCTGGTGGTTCACTAAAAATACAAAAATTAGCTGAGCGTGGTGGCAAGCACCTGTAATCCCAGCCACTTGGGAGGCTGAGGCAGGAGAATCACTTGAACCTGGGAGCTGGAGGTTGCAGTGAGCCGAGATCGCACCACTGCACTCCAGCCTGGGCAACAGAGTGAGACTCCATTTCAAAAAACAAAAAACTCCTTAGTGCAGGGGCTGGGAGAAGGGACACCATTTAACGCTCATGCTGCCCACCCTAGCTCTGCCTATGAGAAGGGTAGGGGCGTGGCGTTAGTAAGTGATTAGTTCATCTGTTCAATTTAGGCTCAGCCTGACTGTGCTGACTGGGGTCAATGGTGGGCCCTGCTTTCCAGTGGGATCCTGGGCTCACTGGACATACTGAAGCAGTGTCTCTAGCTCCTGGGTGTTTCTTGATAAGACCAAGGATGGAGGGAGAAATCAGGGGTCTTTTGGGGAGGGGAGAGCCAGAGATTGAGTGTAGATCTTTCTCCCGCTTCTCCATATCCTCCATATCTTGGCTCTCCTGGCAGGCCCACTCGCCCCTCCTCTGGTAAATGTGTCAAGCGAAGGTTCCACCCAGCTCCGGGCATCCTGGGTCCATGACCCCGGGGGCCAAGACCCTGTACCAGGCAGGCACCCTGGCAGACACCAGCACCATGGGAGCCAATGTGGCCAGCACAAGCTTTTTGAGTCTGACTCGAAGCACAAAATACGAGACAGAGGTTGTCATGAAGGCTGGGCCCCTCTACACTGCAGCAGCCAACACCTCTGGCAGGACCCGTGAGTGAGGCATGGGGAAGGCAGCCATGTGGGAGAGGTGGGCAAGGCTGCCTCTCAGAGCCCCGGGTCCTCCCTCAATGGTGCTCCCTTTAGCCCATTTCCCATCTCCACATCCGAGGGCCCTGCATGGGGTCAGCAGGCCCTGGCACCATGCATGGGGCTCTGAGGACTGGAGCCGGTGGCCTGGCTGACTGCTCTCCCTCCCTCTCTCCCTCCCTCTGCATGCCCAGTGAGTTGTTGGTGCCCATGCATGTGAGCGCGGCTGTGGTCAGTCAACCTGGCCTGGGCCAGTTTCCCCATGCAGCAGGGGGCGTACCACGCCCAACTCTCAGAGGCAAGGCACCTCTCCTGGGAGCAGCACCCCCTCGTGCCAGGCCAAGCCCACCCCAAGCCCACCTCATCCTGAGGGGCCTCACACCTGAACCCAACCTCTCCCTGTCAGTGCTGTGCCAGCTGGGGTTGCTGCAGGCATCCACTCACCGTGTGGTGCTGCCTGTTGGTATGCAGACGTCAGTGTGGGGAAGGACGAAGGTACCCTGAGATGCGGGCCCGATCCGGGTGGCAGTGCTGCCCACTCAACTCTGAGCCACCTGCTCTCTCCAGGTGGATGCACCCACCCTGCTCTGGGTTATGCCCCTTATGCTTCTCCAGGTGGGCAGTCATGTCCAAATGAGATGTTTTTCTGCCTGGCTGATGTCCCTTTCTGTGGGCATAAATGCCCAGTCCTCTGTGCCTATGGATTTTGAGAGCTCCTACCCAGAAGACCTGCTCATAGGAGTGTGCTGACACCCACCCAATGTGGAGCCTTTTGATTCCCACAGAGCCTGGCCCTGTAGAGGATGTGCAGTGCCAGCCTGAGGCCACCTGCCTGGCCCTGAACTGGATGGTGCCCACCGGGGATGTGGGCATCTGTCTGGTGGTGGCAGAGCAGCTGGTGGAAGAGGGAATGCTCGCCTTGTGTTTCAGGCCAACACCTCCAGGAATGCAGTCATGTTGCCCGACCTGGTGCCTGGCACTTCCTATGGCCTCAGCCTCTCCGTGCCAGGCAGGAACAGTCTGTGGAGTCGGGCAGTTACCCTCGTGTTATCCACTTCTGCCGAGGGTAGGCAGCTTGTGCTGCCTCTGGGGCCACCTCCGTTCCCTGTTTTCCTGGGGATGTCACTCCTCTAGTCCTGGCTGCCTGGGGTTTTCCCTGTTCCCCAGGGCCCAGCCCTTTCCTCTGGCCTTGATCTTGCTAGTTTGATTCCATACTTTTGAGCCTCATGTCCTGGTACCCTAGCCCAGGAACCTTCTAGTCCTTATTTAATTATATACATTAGCCATTGTTGCCAGGCACTGAGAGTCACTGGGGCTATGATGGCATGGTCCCTGCCCTTGAAGATGGGTTGCTAGGCACCCAGCCAGGTCCTCACTCTCCTCCTCTCCATCCCCAGCCTGGCATCCCCCAGCATTTGCCCTGGCCCCCAAGCTGGAGCCTGGGACAGAAATGGGAGGATGATCCCGTGGGGCATGTTTGGCAAGGATGACAGGCAGATCATTGCCACCACCACCATGTCACATGAGTCCTGGGCCCAGGAAGGGATGGGGAGACCCCAGCTGTGGCATGGAGTAGGTGGTGAGGTAAGATGGGGACTGAGACTGGTAAGATGAAATATGTGAGGCTGGTATCAGTCTCGAAGCAGGAAGGAGAACCAGAATGTTCTGGAGGAGAGTGCTAATGTGAATGGTGGGCACATGCTAGAGAGATAGGGTAGCCCATCTGTGGCAGGAAGAGAGGCCGCAGCCCCACTGCCACCCTGCTCTGCCCATGTCCCACTCCTCTCCCAGTGACCGAGTCTTCCCAGAAAGCCATCACATGTGGCATGACCACTACGACAGAAGACATGACTCCTACCTGGCCATTCTGCTCCCCAACCCCTTCTACCCAGGGCCCTGGGCTGTGCCGAAATCCTGGACGGTGCCTGTAGGTACAGAGGACTGTGGCCACACCAAAGAGACATGCAATGGGCAGCTCAAGCTAGGTTCCAAGTACAGGGGAGGGCTCAGGCCGAAGGGAGTGGTGACGAGCCGTTATAAGCCTCATTTTGGTTTGTAAACAAACAAGAGATCTAGACTGACTTATAAACAGAATGCAGGTGATGGTCCATAAAGGCCAACAGTGTTGACTGAGCTTCCCGGCAGATAAGGCAAAAATGGGAACACCCATTTGTTATGCAGTTTTTTTTTTTACCCCCAAAAGGAAGGTGGGGTGTATTCTGTTTCAGCTTGCCAGGGCAGTTCCCAGGATATCCAGCACCTATTGTTTTCTTTTTCTTTTTTTTTGAGACAGTCTTACTCGGTCACCCAGGCTGAAGTGCAGCGGCCAGTCTCGGCTCACTGCAGCCTCTGCCTCTCAGGTTCAAGCAATTCTTCAGCTTTAGCCTTCCAACTAGCTGGGACCACAGGCACAGTCATCATGCCTGGCTAATTTTTGTATTTTTAGTAGAGACGGGATTTCACCATGTTGGCCAGGTTGATCTCCAACTCCTGACCTCAGGTGATCTGCCTGCCTTGGCCTCCCAGAGTGCTGGGATTGCAGGCGTGAGCCACTGCGCCAGGCCCACGTACCTATTTCTAGAGCTTCCTCTTACTCTCAGGCAAGGAAGACAGAGTTTGCTGTAAGGTGGCAGATAGCATGATACGTGACCTCTGCCAAGCTTGTCCAACCTGCCTTATTTTGTTACTGTTCTGTTCTGTTTTGTTTTAGACTTTTAGCAGCCTGAGGCCATGGTTTTTCATTTCTGTCTCTAGTGATAAGCAGACAAGAGGGATGAGGAAGGGGCTTTACTGGCCCAACCAGAAATGGAAACCAAGAACCCATTGGACTCCCCTGCGGGGAAGCGCTCACTGTCTGAGCGCCTACTGCTCCGGACCCAGATTGCTGGGAGGCGCTTCGCCTTTTTTGCCTGCCCTTCCCCAACAGCAGATCCTGTTTCTCTGCCCAGGTTCAGGTTGCAGCCTTTACCAGCTACAGCCCTCCTGAGACCATCAGCTCCTTCTCAGCCTTCTCAGGTAGGGCGGGCACTGGGCCCTGGAGATGGGGAGGAGAGCTGGGACCCCTCTTTTGAGCCTCATCCCCAGCAAGTAGCAGGAGGGACTGACTTAGACTGCTGGGAGAACATGTCCTGCTTAGCAGAGTGGGGAGGCCCAGAGCCAGTGACGAAGGTGCTCCTGGCCCCAGACTTGGCCTGGGCGAGCTGCGAGCGCAGGCAGGAGAGTCTGCAGCGTCACTACGGTCTGCTGCTGTCCACGCTCCTGCTGCCTTCCCGCTCTGCCCCTCTATACCCGGATGCTCCCAGGCCATCGGGGCTCTAGAACAGCCCTGTCCTACGGAAATGTAAGGCAAGCCACATTAGTAATTTAAAATGTCTTTTTTTTTTTTTAATAAAGAGTCTTGCTCCGTTGCCCAGGCTGGAGTGCAGTGGTGCGATCTCAGATCACTGCAACTTCCGCCTCCCGGGTTCAAGTGATTCTCCTGCCTCAGCCTCCCAAGTAGCTTGGACTACAGGCGCATACCACCACACCTGGCTAATATTTTGTATTTTAGTAGAGATGGGGTTTCACCGTGTTGCCCAGGCAGGTCTCGAGCTCCTGAGCTCGGGCACCCGCCTTGACCTCCCAAAGTGCTAGGATTACAGGTGTGAGCCACCGTGCCCGGCTAAAATGTCTTTTTAAAATTACATTAAAAAGGTAAAAAGAAACAGATGAAATTAATTTTAGTGGCATTTTATTTAAACCAGAATATCTAAAATATCAACATCCCATTAAAAACACTTTTTTTTTTTTTTTTGAAACAGAGTCCTTCTCTGTTGCCCAAGCTAGAGTGCAGTGGCATGATCTCAGCTCACTGCAACCCCCACCTCCCAGGTTCAAGTGATTCTCCTGCCTCAGCCTCCTGAGTACCTGGGATTACAGGTACGCCACCATGCATAGCTAATTTTTGTAGTTTTAGTAGAGATGGGGTTTCAATATGTTGGCCAGGCTGGTCTTGAACTCCTGATCTCTAGTGATACACCTGCCTTGTCCTCCCCAAGTGTTGAGATAATAGGCGTGAGCCACTGCGGCCGGCCAAAAACACTTCTAATGAGATATTTTACATTCTTTTCTTTCCTACTAAGTCTTTGATATCTGGTGTGTATTTTACACTTACAGCAAATCATAAGTTAGAATTTCCATATTTCAAATGTTCAGTAGCTACCATATAGAACAATGCAGTTCTAGAAAGTCCAGGAAACCATGCCGCTACCCTCTTTCTTTTCTTTTGATGGTGTCAGAGAAGGGAGTGGGGTCTTTGGGGCATGCCCAGGAGCTGGGAGCAGGGAGAGGTTGCTGGGTGTTCCCAGTTTCCACCCAGATGTTTCCCCATGCTGCCATCTCTGGCCTCACTTTGGTATCTGGGACTTCTAGGGTACAGGGGTTTGCCACAGTACCTTTCACCCAGAGGGTCCCAGGTCCAGGAGAGCTTCGCATGACCCCACAGGGTCTGTGGGACAAGGCTGCTATGTTCCACCCCTTCCTTCCCTCCGCAGAGCCCCGGGCCAGTGTCTTCCCCACAGCAGTGCCCCTGCTGGCAGTGGCAGGCCCCGTGGTGGGCTGTGTCCTCAGGATCTGTGCTGCGCTGGGTCTGTTGTGCTGGAGGTGGTGAAGCGGCAGAGCTGAATGGGAGAGGAGGCTGCAGGCTAGGAAGAACTTTGTGATCGGGGCAGGCCAGCTCCGTGCCCCTGGGGCTGCCTCCCACGTGCCCCTCACCCTTTGCAGGGTAAGGAAGGATCCATTTTCCCAAGAGCTGACGGCTTACAACCTGCTGTGAGTGCATTTTCCTGCTCCTCCCTGCCTTGTGGGGCCATGGTGGCATTGCCAAAGCTCCCCTGCCACCCACTCTGCTGTGACTATGTCCCAGTCAGGGGGTTGCAAGGCTCTGCCAGACCCCCATTCTTCCTCAGCCACCACCACACCTCCCCAAATGCCTTTCAGTGCCTGGACCTTGAGCCCCCCACTCCTCTCTGCCCACGTGGCCTCTTCCTCCTCCAAATGCACTCATACATAAGCCAGGACTTTTCAGAGAAACAGAACCAACAGGGTGTGCATGTGGAGAGAGGAGAGCAGGAAGAGAGAGGACAGGAAGGTGAGCGAGAGGAGAGGAGAGGGAGAGAGGGGGAAGAGAGAGATGTTGAGGACTTGGCTTATATAATTGTGGGGGTTTGGTGAGTCCAGAAATCTGGGTAGACTAGCAGGCCACAGGCTCAGGGAAGCAGCTGGAGGCAGCCTGCTGCCAGGATTCCTTGTTGCTCAGAGGTCCGTCTGTTCCATGAAAGCCTTTGACTGATTAAACGAGGCCCAGCCACATTAGAGTTTACCCAGTCAACCAATTTAAATGTTAATCTCATACAAAAAACACCTCCACAGAAACATCCAGAATAATGCTTGACCGAATATCTGGGCAGTGTGACCCAACTAAGTTGACACAAAATTAACCATCACACGTCTCCAGTTCTCACCTTCTCCCGGGGTAACCATGTAGAGCCAGGGTTTCCTCACTTCAGCCTCCCGTGGAGCTGACATGAATTGGGCACGGGCTGTCCTCAGAAGCCCTCCTCAGGACCTGTGGAGGGAGTCAGGGGACTCATGCGTGTGTGTGCACGTCTGCATGCTACATGTCCCCCGTCCCCTCTCTCTTCTCCCACGCTGGTGGTTTGCAGCACAGGCTGGGCGTTGGAGGAGCTCGTGGGACAGGCATGCTGCCCCACACCCAGGGCGGAGCTCAGGATCTGTGTTTCCAACAGGCCCCCAGGTGATCAGTTGATGCTGCTCTGTACCCATCACCCAGGGGAGGGCAGGGCAGGACTTGGCAAACCTAAGGCTGGGGGGCTATCCTCTCCCCCTCTCACCAGGCAGACCCCCCCTCTCACCAGGAGGACCCACCGGCTCATCCCTATCCACAGCTTCAGGCAGAGCTATGAGGCCAAGAGTGCTCACGCACACCAGACTTTCTTTTTGGAATTCAAGGTAAGACCTCTACCACACTTGGGCTCAGAGGAAGGAAGCCTGGGACCTGTCTGAAGGTCTGGAGGGAACTCCCAGTTGCACACTTGCCCCCACTGCCCCTCTCCTGGCACCGGGTAAGATGGGTCTACTTCAGCAACCAGTATCTACCCTTGAACCCTGCAGGAGCTGAAGGAGGTGGGCAAGGAGCAGCCCAGGTTGGGGACTGAGCACCCTCCCAACACCACCGAGAACCAATACCCGCATGTGCTACCCTGTGAGTGCTGGGGGCAGCAGAGGAGGTGTGGCAGAGGGCTAGGGCTTGGCATGGGGGCAGGGGCTTCATGTGCCCAGCCCTGAGTGCAGAGCTTTCACTCTCTGCAGATGACACCTCCAGGGACAGGCTGACCTAGCTGGAGGGAGAGCCCCACTCTGACTACATCAATACCAACTTCATTTCAGTAAGGGCCGCCGGCGAGGCTGTCCATGGGATCTGGGATCTGCTTGGGAGATGGGCTGGTTTGCAGGCCACACTGGCCTTCATCAGCTGTAGCAGTCTTCTAGGAGATCACCAGCTTGGGCTGCATCAGCTCAATCCACCAGGTGTCTAGCAAGAGTCTGTGGTGTGCTGGGCTCTGTGCTCAGCCTGCAGGAGGCAGAGCTGAGTTAGCCACATTCCACACCTTCAAAGGAGCATGTGGGCATGTGCATGACACTCACCACATGTTGTGACCAGGGCTGTAATACAGGAACAAATCACTGTGTTCAGGGCACATGGAAGAAGGAGAAATTTGGCCCACCTGAAGAATCAAGAAGGGCTTCCCAGAGGAGGGGGCATTTGATTTATTGCAGGACAAGTATTATTTTGATAAGTGTGAAAGGGGGAAGGACATTCTTCTGGCTGGAAGGAGCAGCCAGAGAACAGCCAGGCAGTAATGCACAGGCAGTGTATGTGGGGGGCGGTAGGGGTGAGTGGAGAGGCGCTGGGCGGTGGGAGATGTAATGGAAAGGTAGCCTGGGGTTGAATGAAGGAGGGCTTGTTAGGCTGAGGGCTTTGGACTCTATTTGGTGGACCTTGGGGAGCCATAGGAGATTTTTGAGCATGGAATAAACACAGAGTTTGGTTTTAGGAAGGTAACTCTGAGTGGGTGAAAAGGATGGTCTAGATGGACTATTTATCACATGTCAGAATCTTGTTTTCATTGGGGCTTTTCTTGTCCCTTTGGGGTGGTGTCTCTGAAGTCAGCCCTCCTGGTCTGCATTCTGGGTGCACACATGCTAGTGTGTTTGCACGCATGTAGGTGTGGGCACAGCGTCCTTACTCCTGGAGGTCAGATGTCGGAAATCTGCTGTGTGCTTGGCACCAAGCATTGCCTGTTAACATGTTCCTGACCTCTGTGCCCTACACCCCGGGGCCACACCCACCCACGGGAATTGCACTCAGGGCCCTCTCAAGAAAACGCTGGAAGACTTCTGGCAGCTGGTGTGGGAGCAATAGGGGAGAAAGTCAGCAGTGAGTACGGTGGGAATTTACTGCCCCCCTGCCAGGGCCCAGGCTGGCTGGCTGACCAAGCCTTCAGTGTCCCTTCTCAGTCCCTGTGCCCAGGTTGGGTTTTCTCACATCCCCAGACACCCCCGCCACACCTCTTTAGCTACCCCATCCAACTCTAGGTCAATTGCAGCAAGGGTGCCACCCAACTGGGCACCTTCCTGATCATGGAGCAGCTGCTGCGGCAGGCAGGGTCTGAGTGCACCGTGGATGTCTTAAGGTGGCCCTGCAGCAGTCTCAGGCCTGTGGCCCCATGACGCCAACACTGGTGAGAGGCAACCAGAGGCGACCAGAGGCCACGTGCGGGGCTGGGGGTGTGGTGGGGGCCTCAGCTGCGGAAAGGGACAGAGAGATGAGGGAGCTTCTGCCCAGGCCTCTAGGCTACACACCCAGGCAGCCAACAGGTGGCGCTGTGAACCGCTGTGCGATCTCCCAGATGGAGTCCTAGGATTGGGACACACAAGGGACACTTTTTCTGTTAGATTGGGGCAGGCGGGGTGAGCCTCCCACCCCGTGTCCATCTCCAGGAGCAGTATATCTACCTCTACAACTGTCTGAATGGCGCACTGGCAGACAGGCTGCCCTGAGTCGTCACTGGTCACTGTGCAGTGTCAGAGCAGGAAAGGCCTGTGCCCTGCTGGATGGGGCTCGTCCAGCAGGGCACAGACCTCGTGGCCGGGGCTCCCTGGAAGGGCGGCCTCCACTGGGCCCTGTGCTGCGAAGGGGCAGAGTCTCGGAATAAAGACACGTGGCCGAGCACGAGGCTCGGTGTGTCCTGTCTGCCCGTCCTCGGACCTGGGCCCAGCATGTGGGTATTGTGGGCAAACATGGAGCCGGGATGGAAGCTAGGGCTGGAGTCTGGCTGAACCAGGTGACCTGTGGCCCCTGCACTGTTGGTTTTTCCCCTGGAGCAACCCTCTCCCCACTAATCCTCCAGTTTCTCCGTTTCCTCAGACTTCGGCCTCTCCACGTCTAGTTTCCTGCGGTGCTGAGCCTTGGATGCAGAATCACAGCTCCAAATTGTTCGCCCTCTGCCCGCCACCCCGTATGCAGCAGGATTTATGCTGTTTTCCACACCCCTTCTCCTGCCATCCCCATTCTTCTCTACCTGCCAGAGCCCCCAGGGGCCACCCTCAGCTCCTACCAGGGTGGAGGTGCCAGAGCCACCCTGTGACTTGGAAGGCAGGCGCTGGAGGCACCCCCTCAGGTGGAGTTGCCAGTTCTCCCTGCTTCTTCGCTCCCTCCTCCTTCCTCCCCTCCACATAGGAGGGAGGTGGGGGAGAAAGCAGGGAGGGCATATGGAGAAAAAACCAGGGGGAGAAGCAGAGACCAGAAAAGAGGGTGGGGAGGCAGCTGTCTGTCCCGCATGCTCTAGGACTGCACTGCACACGTGTGCATAATTGCTGGTGGCTGCCTGGGCTCTGGCCTGCCTCCCTGGCCAGACCGCAAGTTTCCAGGTGCAGCGCCTGGTGCTGGACATCAACTGCCCCTGGTGGGAGGCCCTGGGAGGATGCAGAGAAAGCCTGGACAGACCAGAACAAGAGTCCCTGAAGTGGAGTTGGATCTCCCCAAGTGGGGAAGTAGGGAGAGCTCCTGAGTTCCTACTGATGTGCAAGGGTCAGAAGTCAGGGGAGGGGCCTTCTTAGGCCTGGTGGAGGAGGAAGGGTGCAGAGGTCATGCTGGCTGCTTAATTGGGAGCTTTCCCAGAATGGGAGTAAGCGCTGGTGCCCTCCCAGGAAGACTGAACATTGGTGTCCTCCATACGCCGTGTGTATCAGGAGCTGAGGGCTGGGCCCCCTAATGACCCTCACAAAGGCAGGCTGGAGGCTCTGCTCTGAGCTGCCTGAGTCTGTCTCAAGCAGCTGCTGCTGAGGTTGCAACAGGGCTCAACCATGGCTTTTCCACCCTAGGAAAACCTCACGTTGGAGCAGCGGGAGCTGCAGATGAGATGGAGCTGAGGCTGTGGCTGAATGAAGGAAGGACAGGCTGGCCTGCAGTAGCTTTTGCTATAGGGCAGAGGTGGCTCTATCTGTGGGTCTTTGTGGTCATACAGGCCTATCCTCTGGCCTTTCTAGGAGGCTCATCTTCTACTTTCAGTGCCATGGCCCCAGCTGGAGGCCTAGGGTCAGGGTCTGCTCAGTTCTGGTCCAAGTGTGCGGCCTCTCCAGCCCTGGGAAGTTATCAGAGAGTGAAGGGGCATTGATGAGAGGGTGCTGGCATGTGGAAGTACAGGGCAGAAGAAATCCTGGATGCCTCTGAGGTCCAGGGTTTCTGGTATACCCTCTGGCTGGACCATGGGGAGACAGGGCAAAAATGGAAGGAAGGGGGCCCACAGCCCACTCTAGCTCTGGACTGGGGCTTGACTCAGCATGGGAGAGACCAGAGAGAGCAAGAGGCTGCCTGAAGGAAGCACAGCCAGCTCACTATGGTCTAAGGAGAGAACAGCGATTGACCTCATTTTTTTTGTTCTGTTTTGTTTTGTTTGTTTTTTGAGAAAGAGTTTCATTCTTGCTGCCCAGAGCTGGAGTGCAATGGCGTGATCTCGGCTCACCGCAATCTCTGCCTCGCGAGTTCAAGAGATTCACCTGCCTCAGCCTGGTGAGTAGCTGGGATTACAGGCATGTGCCACCATGCCCGGCTAATTTTTTGTAGAGACGGGGTTTCTCCATGTTGGTCAGGATGGTCTCGAACTCCCGACCTCAGGTGCTGGGATTACAGGCCTGAGCCACCGCGCCCAGCTGACCTCCGTTTTAACCACCATGCCCCTTGCTCACCAGGGCTCTGGGGCTGCCAGGTCAGCGCCCTGGTGGGATTCCGGCCTCAGGGTGGCTGAGCTGCAGCGGCAGCACCCGGCCTCCAGGTGGCGCCTATCCGCTTACTTTGAGGCGGGCTCCGACAACCAGCTGGGCTGCCCGCAGTCCCTCAGCCTCCTGAGGTCCTGGGAGAGGGGACCAAGGTGGTCCCCGGGCCGGAAGCCTGACGGAGGCTGCAGGAGTGCATTTCCACCCAGGGTGCACTCAGCGGGTGGAAGTCCACACCCGCCTCTCCGGAGTCAGGGCGCGGCCCCTCAGGGAGGAGGGTCGGGTGCCCGCCGGCTCCCGGGTGCCCGCGGCCGGGTCATCTCAGCGGGCAGGGGCCCCTCCGCAGCCCGGCGCCTCCCAGCGCAGCCCCTCACTCCGCTCTCCCGTCCAGGAGGCCGGCCGAGGCGGGCGGGTGAGTGCCAGCTCTGGGGCTGCCCCAGCAGCAGTGTCACCTTGAACAGATCGTTTCTCCCCTTGGATCTCTGTTTCCTCCAGTGTGAAACGTGGTGGAGGCATCCGAGGGGCCCTGGGAGTCCCCAGGTCTCTCTCCTAGGCCCCGTCTGGGTCCCATGGGACCCCGTGGGTGTCCCGAGACGCAGGACGGTCCCGAGCCCCGCGGCCGAGGCCCTGGGGGACCCTTTCCAAACAAGTGCAGGTCTCTGACGGGCTGAGCTTTGCTCGCTTGGGTTTCTTTGCTTTCCTCCTTTTTTTTTCGTTCCTGGATGAAGTTGCTGCCAGCTCCGAGGGAAGGAGGGAAGGGGAGCGCGCCGCAGCGTAGAAAGTTTCCTTGACTCCTCCTCCGGCTGTGTCTCCCTCCCTTGCCAAGCCCAGCCTGTGAAACTGAATAACGAAGATCACTCAACAATGCCTGCCCCTCTCTGACTGCACCGTCCCGGCGCTCCCACCGCCGCCACCGCCCAGCAGAGCGCGCGGGGCGGTCCCCACCGACGGCGCAGCCCGCCGGGACCGGGAGGGAGCAGCGGCGGCCACCGCGCCCGTGCGCCCGCCCGCGCGCCCGCCCGCGCGCCCGCCCGTCAGGTGCCCCAGCCGCTCGGCCTCCGAGATGCCCAGCCCGCCCGGGCTCCTGGCGCTGTGGCTTTGCGCCGCGCTGTGCGCCTCCCGGAGCGCCCCGCAGCCCGGCCCGGGGCCCGCCGCCTGCCCGGCCCCCTGCCACTGCCAGGAGGACGGCATCATGCTGTCGGCCGACTGCTCTGAGCTGGGGTTGTCCGCCGTACCGGGGGACCTGGACCCCCTGACGGCTTACCTGTGAGTACTGCCCGCCTGTCCCCGCCTGGTCCGCAGGCTGCCCGCTAGCGCCCAGTCCTGGCCACCGCAGGGCACCTGCTTGCTTGGTGCCCTGGGGCACAGGCATCCCGGGGAGGGTTCGCCCCATTCCAAGTTGAGGGCTGCGGGACTGGGGAGGGGAGAAGAGTGTGAGACTAAATCTCAGGCCAGCCGGGAGCCCGGGCTTCCCTGACTTGGCTTCCCCGTTGGTCTCCGGGCTTATGGGCTCACTATCGGCCCCCCTGCCAGGCTAGGTGGGTTCTGAATCCTGAGCGGGAGGGCGCGGGACTGGCTGCCCAGTCTCCTGTGCCTGCCTTCTCCTCTAGTAGAGCAGTGCCCGGGACGGTGGCTGAGGGCAAAGCAGACGGAACTGGAGGTAGGGGCGAAGGGAGGTGCCCCAGTGGGGTGGAAATCATGTCTGTTCCTCTGCCATGGCGAGGACAACAGGGCTGTCACGCCGAGGCTGGGTGGCCTTCGTCGGGGGGGGGGGGGTCCCAGAAGCTGGGAGGGGGGCCTTATCCACTCTTGTCTCCTGAGAAAGGGACTCTGCCAGCACCGTCTCCCTTCGCTGGGGCCTCCTGGCTCCCTCAGGGTCCTCCCTAAAGTCATGTCCCAAGAGGCTGAGTTGGAGACACTAATTTGTGGGCAGGCGCCGAGGCTGAAAACCAGAGAACCATTTTTAGCGTCTGAGTTGGGGTGAGACGGCGCGTGAAGGGGACCCTTCTGGGGGCAGCTGTCCTGCCCGTCTGGCTCAAAGGAGCGTCCCTTCAGAACCGGAGGGCTGGGGACTCTGGCTGCTCACCACCTGGGCAGGAGGAGGGTGTGAGAGCACATTCCGGGCCACCCACTGCACCCCCAGCCTGGCTCTGGGGAAAGGAAACCTCCTCCAGCCCAGCCTGCAGGGTTCTCACCCCAGAGGTGCTGGGAGCAGGTGGGAAAGCCTGGGGCCTTCTGCTGAGGGCTAGAATCCCAGAGCTCCTTATGGCCTGAAAGAGGCCTTTCATGGCTTCGGGGTTCCAGCACTTGGGAGCTCAGAGGAAGAGGAGGCTGGGCAAGGCTTTATAGGGGCCAGCAAGAATTTGTTGAACTAAAAGGGTGCTCAGTGCTGGCAGTGTCCTGGTGAGGGGTAGAGAGTCCCAGATGGCAACTCTTCACGGGGCGCCTCTCCAAATGTCCCTGTCCCCAGGTCAGGATGTTCTCCTCCACTCTAAAAGGCACAGGCTGTGGGCACAGGTGAGGTAGTGAGAAGGGAAAAATAAGGTCCATCTTCCAGAAGGGCAAATGAAATCCTCCACAGTGCAGCAGTGACGGCAGAGGCAGTCATGGGAATAAAGGTACAAGCTGCTCAGACCCGGGCGCTCAGCACCTGGCAAAGCAGGACAGGCTCCGGCCCCAGCCCGACACCCAGACCAGACCCGCTTTCAGCAGTTTTATATCCTGGGAGTATATGACATTGGTTCATTTGAAGACAGGATCCCGTGGCTAAAGAGTTTAGACATGACTTCTCTGGAGCCTTTCTCTGGGCGAGCTAAAGGGAGGTTGCTTGCCTGGGTTAAAGGGCCAGGGGATATAGGGCCTTCCAGAGCTTGATGGGCCAGCATCCTTTCCCAGCATTAAGTCTTCCTAGACTGGACAATGATCCTTTTCCAGAAGGACTTGGGGAAGGAGGTACAGTGTCACCTTTGGAATTCAAGCATCCCACCCTCCGTGCTGACAGAAGATTTTCCCACTAGCTTGTCACAATTCCCTCGGAGCAGGGAAGTCTGCATTTGGGTTCAGTGAAGGAGGGGTTTTCTGAGCTGGTCTGTGTCTTCCTGGGGATTGAGAAAGCCCCTCTCTCCCCGCTCTCTCTAGATTCAGGGGATGCTTCTGAGAGTGGCAGAGGGAGGGGAGAGAGTGGGAGCTGGAGAGGGCATGGGTCCTGAGGGGATGTGGGGAATTTAGCCGTGGGGTCTGGAATATTGGAGGGAGGTGGCAGAGGACTGTGTCCCCTGCCCTGGGCTGCGGAGGTGTCTCATCTGGATGGTGCATGAAGGGTCCTTACAGTTGTCCTGAGGGTGGCTGAGAGGAGGAATCTTCTTTCTTTGCTCCCTCAGGAGAACAGCTCTGCCACAAAGGCCCCTGAAGGTGGGGTTGAGGGCTGGCTAGGAGAAGAGCCAGGGTGCGGAGGTTCTGGGGGCTCCTTTCCCTTTTCGGTGATGTTAGGAGATGCCCAGCCTGGCCTTGCCCCATGTAGCCCAGTCCTTGCTGAGAACGGCGCAGATTTGCATCTGATGATATAACCAGCAGTGCCTCTCTGTCTGGGCCACTCAAACCTTGGCTCCTTCCTAGCTCTGCCACCTACTGCGAGTCACTCACTGAACACCTCTAAGCCTCAGATTCTTCATGTGTACATGAAGAGGAGGAAGCGGGTTGCTGAGAGAATTAAATGAGATAATATGTGCCATGAAAGTCCCCGGCACAGTGCCTAACACCCAAGGGTGACTCTGAAATGGTGGCTAATGTGATCATGCCTCCTATGGCTGCCTGTGGAGGTGGAGGTCAGCGACTAGGCCTCTCCACACCGGAGGGGAACTGAGCCTACTGGGTGAGTATAGAACTCAAGGGAATGGTTTGTAGCTGGAGGAAGAGGTGTGAGCTGGGGAGGTGACTGTCAGGGCAGCTCTTGATCAATACTTGGCTGGTTCTGGGGACTTGGAACCCAACCAGTTGGTAAAAATTGGAGGTTGGGGATCAGGATGGAGGATGGGGACTTAGGTCCTCCTGACACAGAGTTGAGAATGAAAAATGTTAAAACACTTGGATATGCAGGAAGTAGCAGGCCAGAGAGAACTCGAAGACCCTTAGAAGGAGCCATAGACAGAACCATAGCAGGCAACCAGGAGCTATGGACTCTAGAAAGTTCTTGCATGTCTTCTTGCACATTCCCTGACCTGGTCTCAGTAAAAATGACTTCACATCCACTCCCCAACCCCACAGCTGTGAGATGTTTCTCCTTCCAGCCAATACCTTCCATGAGGTAGGTGCTTCTGCCTCCCTCCATCTGGGTTCTAGGGAAGACCAGAAAGGCATCTGTAGAGCCAACTGGTGTTCTTTGCCCCGACACCCATGTCCAAAAACTATTACGGCTTTTGGACTCAATGGCAGCCCTGTTTGATCAAGGTTGGGAAGACAGACTTCAGATCCTCACAATCCTTCATATGTCTCTTTTTTCAAGTTTCCTCCTAAACTGTAGTCTCAGCGAGGCTCATTGACACTCACTGGGGTTTTGACATTCTCCCTGGCTAGGGCCTGTTCCAGGAATAGACTGATGGGGAGATGGGGCCCCTGGCTTTGGGACATCCAATCTGCTGGTGATGAGAAGGCATGATGTCTGTTCTATTCTTTTTTCTTTTTTCTTTTTTAAAGAAAAAATGTGCCTTAATGTGCTGCCTTCATAGCAAGGTTTGAGGAAGGAGGCATTTCTCACATATGAGTCCGAAAACCCAATCGTGACGCTTCTGAACTGCAAAAGGATCACCTCTTGTTCTATTCTATCAATCACGTGCACACAATGCAGAGACAGGAATACCCAGACAGCAAATAACCTGTGAGGCAGATAATCCCCAGAGTTGTCCCTGGGTAGAAGGATCTGGGTAGTTATCTGGGCCCCCAAGGCCGAGCAGTGTCAGTAAACAGATGGTGCCAGGAAAGGTGCCTCACACAGCTAGTTGTAAAAGACCCGAGGCTCACACACTTGTAGTCACGCCCAAGCACCCATTTTCATCACCTCCTGCCACCAGGGCTGAGGGAAGGGCCACCACCCCAAGCAACCCGCACTTCTGATTATTTATTGCTTTCTTGGGAATTCACTCCCTTTAGGATTGCCTGTGATAACTGATAACCACGGGACTCATTTGAAAGGTTAGATGGTGTGTGTGTGTGTGTGTGTGTGTGTGTGTGTGTGTGTGTGTGTCTGTGTGTCTCTCTGTGTGTGTAGATGCAGGGTAATTTGCAGGGGATGTCTACAGCCAAAGAGATGCAGGCAGGATGCTGAAGGCATAGACTAAGGGGTTGTGGCATTTGCCACAACAAAGGAGGGTTCAAGCTATGATCTACTTGCTATGTGACCCCCGGCCAGTTGATCAGCCCTCCTGTGACTTGGTTTCCTCATCTGTAAATGGGGTTAAGGTCTACCTCGTAGGGTTGCTGTGTGGATTCACTGAGATAATGTTTGCAAAGGCTTTGGCATAATGTCTGGCCTGTGGGAAGAGCTCGGTAGATGTTAGCCAGTGTTATTAGTGTGGCCAGGGCCAAGAAATGTTAGTCATGGAGGTCCTCCTGGAGGGGGAAGACCTGGAGCTAGCATGGGAAGCAGGGGAGCAGGCCTGTTCTATGAAACGTATAGGATAGGTGTGTTTGTAGTTGGGGGCTATGAGAGGGGGAAGAGGCTGTCAAGAAGATGGAATGAGCTCTACTGGGAACCTAGAGTAATTTTAGGTTTTTTTTGCTTTTTTTTTTTTTTTTTTTTTTAGAGACAGAGTTTCACTCTTGTTGCCCAGTCTTGAGTGCAATGGTGCAGTCTCAGCTCACTGCAACCTCCACCTCCTGGGTTCAAGCGATTCTCCTGCCTCAGCCTCCCAAGTGGCTGAGATTAAAGGCACCCTCCATCATGCCCAGCTAATTTTTTGTATTTAGTAGAGATGGAGTTTCACCATGTTGGTCAGACCAGCCTTGAACTCCTGACCTCAGGTGATCCACCCACCTCGGCCTCCCAAAGTGCTGGGGTTACAGGCGTTCACCACACGGCCCAGCCAATTTTAGTTTTTTTTTTTTTTTTTTTGAGTACAATCTAGAAAAACCAGGGAGGGGACGGGAGCACCTGATGGAAGACCCCAGCGTGCTCCCTTACATGGTCTAGATGGGCCCCTGCAGGGGCTACAGATGAGGAAGCAGAGAAACAGGTGGCCTTAGCAGGGGAGAGCCAGCCTTGGAGAGGATGTGCTGTGAATTGGGGTGGGGAGGGGGATGTCAAGGTGCCAGCTCTCATTTCTCACTTCCAAGGCCATCCTTCCCCAGCCCAGTCTTAGTCGCCCTTTCTAATAGATTCTAAGAGTTTGACTCCTCCTTCCGGAAACTTGGGGTTTGTGAGTTCTAATCTTCAGTCTCTCAGTTGCTATGAGACCCTGTGCAAGTCCCAAAACTTCTCTGGACCTCAATGTCCGGAGAGGCCATGTTTTGGATGAAAAACTAGGAAGCGGGAGAGGCAGGGGGTAATCCACCTTGAGTCTCCTTCTGCTGGTGTGTGACAGAGAAAGCACCCAAGGAGAGCCGCCCAGCAGCAGGCAGTGAGGGGAGGGAGGAAGCGAAGGGGAGCACCAGGCAGCATCCAGACCAGGGTGGGGAAGAGAAGGGTGAAGGAGGGGCACAGTGACTCCAGGAAATGGGGTCCCCTAGGGCTCTCCTGTGCCAGCCTTGCTCCAAAGTGGAGCCTGGTAGGGCGGGCCCATCAGAAGGCAGGCCCGGGGGGTCGCCAGAGGTGGGTGAATGTGTGGGGGAGCCAACACCCCAGTTCAAAGGAAAGGCAGGAAACAGCCCTAGGCAAAAGAAAAAGGAAACCTCTCGGCTCTGGCAGCAGCGGGCATGGGGCGCGGCCGGGCGGGGCGGCTGGCGGAGGAGAAGAAAGCTTGGCTCAGAGCAGAGTTGGCCCCCAGCCCGCCCCCACTCCACCCGCCCTCCCCCCATTCCATGGGCGATCAACCCTGATGGCCCCACACACGCTGCAGCCTGCTTCCCGCACTGACCCATGCACCCCAGGGGAGAGACAGAAGGGGCACAGGAGAGGGGATCCGAATGGGGAGGCCCTGCTGGGCGTGGGCTCAAGTCTCAGCTCCACTGTTGATGAGCCGTGTCTTTGGGCAAATCACTTAACCTCTCCAAAGTTCCAGTTTCTCAATCTTTAAAATGAAAACACTAATAGTATCTACCTCAAAGGGTTGTGAGGAGGAGCAAATGAGGCAAAGGAAGCAAAGTGCCTTTTACGCTATAAGGGTTTACAAAGTGTTTACTATTAATATCGTTTTGCTTAATGCCTTCAGCTACAAGTAAGCTATTGTGGAAAGGGCCCAGCAGAGCTCCTGGTGACAGGATGGGGAGTTAGGATGGCAGAGTCTCATCTTCTGGAGTCACATCAGATCACCCTTCCTTCCCTCCCGCCCTCCTTCCTTACTAATAAAGCCCCCTCGCACTGACTTTCAGGAAAACGGGCCTTTCAAGCAGCCAGTTCTGCTCTTGGGCTCCTGGGCTGGGATGATGGAGGAAGTGATCCTTCTCCCAGGTGATGCCTGGAGGAGCTGGGGCTAAGCCTGCGCCTGGTGGGAGACTCTCCAAGGAGGAAGAATCTGGACTTCTAGGTCAGCGCTCTCTGGAGAATCCAGCTTCTCCCCAGAAATGGAGTTCCTTGAAATTAGTCTCTCTGCTCTAGCTCAGTGGTGCACTTGGGATTGGGAGTGTGGCTGTGGGGGTGAGGGGACAGGCATGCCCTGAGGGTGGACATGCCCTGAGGGGCTGCGAGGATCCTCCTCTGAGCTCATCCTTAATGGGCTGTGTGACCTTAGACTCACTACTGGGACCAGGCCAAGATCAAGGAGTCCACTGGGGCTTCAGACACCTTGGGAAGGTGCAGAAGATTGGGTAGGGGAGAGAATGCCAATCCCCTTTCCTCATGTTGAAAATGGCAACTTTTTTTTAGCCAAACTGAAATGAACTTGCTGACTTGGGGGGTCTCTCAGAATTATGGGGGCCCCTTGGTGCTAACTAGTCCATTGGCAAAAATGGAGTGATCTCCAGTTCCTAATGACAATTCAGGTCTCTTCTCCCGCCCTTCAGACATGGGAGAACAGGTCCCAGGAGGAGAAAAACACCCGAGAGGCCAAACTTGGGCAGCGAGCAGAGAGTTATTTTGGAAGCAGCAAAAGGACATGGTGGGGGGAGAGCTCAGGGGTTGGCACTGTGCCCCCCCGGAGCCATGCCAGAGCAGGCCACGGGCAGGCTGGCGGCTGGCGGGTGGGGGGGCTGGGGACGGCTACTCAAGGCACCTCCAGAGCTGAGGTTTCCTTTGTGTCCCATCCCCAGCCCTCCCTTCTCTACTACGATCTTTTCTCTCCTCCAGAAACCGTCAGGGGATGCCTGTGCTGTACCTTCCATTCTCCCCCTCCCTGGGAGATGGGGGCCCCCTCTGATGAACTGTGAGCTGTGAATTTGAGGCTGGGTCTGGGGGAGCATCTTGGGCCCAGCTCTCTGCCTCTCCTGTGTGCTCTAGCACGGCGAGGGTGCCTTCCTGGTTGGTGTTTTCATTCCCTGGACTGTGACCTTCTTCCAGAAAGACACTAGCTCATCAAAAACATTCATTCTTGGGACCCAGCCTAGATGGCCCCCCAGAGGTTCAGAGGGACATACATAGGAAGCCACCACCACCCAGCCGTCTCTTCCTTTACCAATAATAGTGAGAACCAGCATTTGTTGAATGATTGGCATGTGGCCAGAAGTGTGCTCAGGCCCTTTATCTGCATCATCTTGCATAAAGCCCATGACAGAGGTGCGAGCGTTATCCCCACTCACCAATGCGGAAACCAAGCCTTTTCAGTGCTGAGGAGCTTGCCTAAGACAGCCAGCCAGTAGTTGCTGGTGCAGGGATTTCAGCCCAGGCAGCCTCCCTCCTACCAACTTTATCTACTGCCTCTCACAGCCCCACAGCTGAGGGGCTTCCAAGCTCCAACAGAATGAGCAGGACTCTGGGCACGTCAAAATCCCAGGCCGAGCAGCCTCTCAAAGCCTATTTACAGTTCCTGTCTTTCTGGGGAAGGATCAGTGGTTTGCCCCATTTCCCTCCCATCTACCAGCAGTGGTTTCTGTGAGCCCATCTGTGGGGGTGCTTGGAGGGGACGGTATTGAGGCTCAGCACAGAAACTGGGGACTCTGGTTGGGGAGGGTGAGACAGAATCCTTGAATGTGGAGATTATCATCAGCGTTGCTGTTGAGGACCTACCTCTGGGAGGCAGTCAGGGTGGTGACTGTCAGAGAGGGACTAGCCAGGTGCACATGAAAAGTGAACTCACTGCATCATAATCCTGGGAGCATGCAGGGTGGACCAGAGGTGAGGGTCATGGGTGCTCAGGGAGAAGGAGGACTGAGGTGATCAGGGAAGGCCCAGGGGAGGGAGAAGACTTGAGTCCTGAAGGCCAGAAGGATTTAGCTCAGGGCCAGGAGAAGGGAAAGCCATGAGCCCAGGAAAGAATGAGGACCCACACTGGGGCTTTCGTACTTCATGTCCACAGCCTGTTCTGTCCCTTCCCGGGTGGCATGTTCTAGATCAGGGCTTTCTGCCCTTTTCCCCTCAGGGCACACATTTTAAAAACACAGACACACACATACACAGGCACACAAACCCAATGCAAGGTGTTCAGCATCCCCAGTAAATCAACGAGGCTGCTCAGGCCAAAGGCACCCAGTAACCCTGGGCAGCACCCAGCCATCCCAGGGGATAGGAGACCCCATCTGGGCACACACCCGGAAACGCTGCTCTAGAGGAAAGTGCGTGTTTGCAGCCAAGCAGACATGGGTTCAAGTCTAGGCCGCAGCCCTAACCGGCCGTGGTCTGTGTGTTTCCTCACCTCTCTTGGCTTCTGTTTCCTTAGTTTCAAAATGGGCATACAGAAAGATGTTTATAATTAGGCACAGTGCTTGGCATATAGCAAATGCCCAGTCTATGGGAGCTATGGTTGTTATCTATCTGGTCTCCCCTTGGGAGACGCACTTGGGAGGAGGGGTGGAGGCAGGCCTGCAGTGGCCCTCCGTTTTGCCTATTTGACTCTGCCTGCCTAGGGCTTGGTGACAGTGAGACCCAGAGGGTTGGTTCTAGGACA